GATCTCACCTGGAGCTAAATGGACATGGATCTAAATAGACCTGGACCAGATCACACCTGGAGCTAAATGGACCTGGACCAGATCACACCTGGAGCTAAATTGACCTGGACCAGATCACACCTGGAGCTAAATGGACCTGGACCAGATCACTCCTGGAACTAAATTGACATGGACCAGATCACACCTGTAGCTAAATGGACCTGGACTAGATCAGACCCCAAGTTAAACGGACCGTGCTTCATTGCCTTTCACACCTTCACCATCATCTTCATCAGCCATGTTGCATAAATAAGGGACAGCAGCTGCAGTAACTGAGGAAGCCACTACATTACAGTAACAAGCTGGTTCCTAAAGTTCTCCAATCAGAGGACAGACTGGTGTGACATCATCAACCCAGATAAGGAGTAATTCTCTCCAAAAACAGATTTTCTTCAAGCTTTTGAAAACGGTACTAACTGGATATTCGGCTGCTGCTTTAGGAATCCTTACATCAGCTGGGTTAGGGTTAGAACCGTCCACCAGAACCATAACAAACATGAAAGATGAAATTAGAAATAAGGCAGAAACAACCAGAAGTTCCTGGGATCATTTTTCTCTGCTGACAGGAAACCATAAGACCATTAATTATTGCTCAATTTAAAATTAATCAGCTTCAAACTCTATGACTTCATCTTTTAAATTAGTAAAGTAAACATGATGGAATAAATTCACCTCAAAACGAACTTAACTCTGTCTTTTTATCCATTTCTGAATTTCTTTGTGAATTGAACCTTCTTTTTTTTTTTCCTTTTTTTTAGGCACTAACCCGAAGTTCGCTCCTAGCAACCTGTTGCGGCTTATTTGGTTTTACTTTATTTGAAGAAAGAACAATTGCATTCTTCAATCGGTCCACTGAATAATACCTCCATGATAAACTTGCATTAATACCTTCAACATTAAACAGTTAGCAACGATAATAAGACAAAGAAAGCCAAGCTTTGATTGAACAGTCCACTGAATGTTCTGCTCAGCAGGTTCTGATCAGCTGATGTTGGACCCGGATAATCTGGAGGCGAAGCCGCAAAAAGCGGAACCAGGAAGAAAATCCAGCATTTCTTCACCTTCCCGGATAAAAACAAAGAAATGACCCCATCTGTTACCTTGTGGGACTTGGTTCAGGTTGAGGAATTGCAGCGCAGCTATCAGATCCATCTTGTTTGTTTGAAATCTGCCCGCCCGGATGTGAGAATTTGTTCCATATCCGGGTCCTCCTTCTTGCTCAAATTAGCGCCACCTGCTGTTTGGGAGCCTTAGACATTGATATAAGATTTTTTTATTTTTATTATTATTTTTTTTTTTATTGTAAACCATCATATACAGTAGACAAAGTGTCGGTATCAGATGTATATAAACCTGAAAAACCTGGACTAGCCGACCCAGGTTGCTTCCACATTTACAAGACATATTGAACATAAAATAAAAACGAACAAAACACAAACAAGAAAAAAACAAAACAAAAAAAAAAAACAAGCACACATACATTAGGGGTGTCTCATCAGCTCCAGATTGAGACATTCAAATAGGGCTCGGGATCCACGTTGCATTGTGGGACGTCGTGGTCATATTGACGGCTACGCGAACGTAAACATAGCTCTGA